TGTGCCTTGTACTTATGGGTGAAGTTTAGAATAGGCAACTTTTAGGAATCTTTAGTTAAATGCTTTCCTAAGAAGGCACCTAGATTCTTAAGCACCTAGATTCATTAGGTGCCTCCATTTTGACCTGTAAAGAACCTGAGCACAGCAGCCTGAAGCTAGGGGCCTGTTCAGAAGCAATCCAGACCAGTCACTAGACCTGTCTTTCTCACCTATCCTCTCTTGCTCTGCCCAATTCCTTAGGTGAGCTCAATGTACACTTAATGACTCTTGCATGCTGGGAACATGCATGCAGCTCAATACAAAATACAGCTGTATCCCTCACCCCTTTTCTGTTGAAGCAGGACACTAGACAGCCAAGAGTATAATGTTCATGGAGCGAGATAAAGAGCTTGCACTAAGGATGTGACTCTGTGGCCAAAGGTTTATACTACCCACCTGAGAAGACAAAGTTCTAGGTTTTTGGCCCCTACTGCCACTATTAGTACATAGCGACATTATTGCACTACTTAGTCCCCTGGCACATGTTACACATAAGACATGATTAACTATTATTCTTTAATCATAAATCATTGCATAGTAAATATATAAAAAGCCCAGAAAGCCACCAAGAGGCAATGTGACACTGAGGCCCAGTAAAGAGGGCACATCCCTGGGCATAGGTGACCGGTGCCTCCTGAGTCTGGGGGGGCACCTTCAGAAGCTGGAGGCTGTGGTGGGAATGAAGCTGGGGAGCACCTGCAGATGGCAGCAGCAGGGACAGAGCTAGGAAGCACCCACAGACACGCTGGCAGTGACAGGGATGGAGCTGGCGAGCACCTGCAGACGCCATCAGCAGTGGGGATGGCCCTGTCAGAGGGAGCACGTGCTTCCCCCCCCCCCCCCCCCCCAGTGGCTCCCCTACCAGTTGCCTATGTACCTGGGAACGAGGAGTCCCAGATTTTTGTTTATGCTGCCAAGACTGCATGTGCATTTTACATTAGCCATTGGTCAAAATAATCCTGGTAGCAGGGGCTGGAACCCAAGAGGGTGCTATATCCATGAGGCTAGAGACTCACTCACTCCCTTTTACTTGGTTACCATTTTACTGTTTGAATGCCTGCCTATCTAGCTGGAGTGTTAGGATACTCTCCTTGGAAGTGGGTGATGTAGGTTTGAATTCCCTTACAGTGCACCTAGAACTCACATCCCTGACTTCTTGGGCAAGTGCTCTTACCACTAATTATCGGGCCAAAGGTGGGCACTGGCATCCTGCCATTGTTGTTTAAGAGTGAACTCCATGCTGCTGGAAGTAAGGGTGTTCTGGTTCACATAGTTGTCTCCTCTCTGAGCAGTCTGCAGCCTGACGGAATGGAAGCAGCTTCTTTGGAGCCCTGAGCCTGATATCTAAGCTTAGTGGAGGAGTTCAGACACAGTCTTGAACCTGGCATTTCCTATTGGCTAGCTGTTAGTGCTTCCCTGCTCAATGACTTAGGGTGGAAACAGACATCACGTTTATGCTGCTGTAAAAATTTGTATCACATCACAAAGTGAAAGCAAACAGATGCCCATGCCTTCTGTCATGCCACAAAAGCTCAAATTTGTGGCCAAACCAAAGGTAGTAATAGACTGGGCCACTTTATTGTGGCCCACATCTTTTTGTTTAAGGTGAGAAAGCATGGGCACTTGAGGCAGGGGCTCTGCAGGCTTGATGAGCCTGGTCCAGCACACCCCAAGAATTCCCAGTCAGGATTAGGCCCTTCAAGCCTGCCACTTACCCAGGTGTGTCCCTCCAGAGAGTTCCCAGGCACTGCAAACACAGTCATTTTGTGCTCATCCTGCTGTACAGAAAAAAACTCACTCTTCTGCTCTAGCATACTACTGTATTTACCCAAATTCAAGACAACTTCAAATTTCAGTCAACCCCTCAGTAATTAGATTCTATACATGGAAATTATAAATGTGTTCTAATTACTAGAAGGTCATGTTAAATTCATTCCCCCCATTCCTGTGGCTGGAAAAGCAGCTGCAGGGGGCCAAACCCCACCCCTTGGCCCTCTGCTCCTTTTCCTCTTTGCCTGCCTGCCCTCCCTCCCTCCTTGCCCCCGAGGTGCTCCCCTTGCTGCCTTCCCCCTGTCCTGTGCCCCCTATGCCTCTGGATCAGTCAGCACCAGTGGTGGCCCCAGCTCAGCCTCAGACCAGTCTGACCAGGGAGAACTGGTGGTAGCCTACTCCGGACCAAATCTAAGACTTGGCATGCTGGGGACTAGGGGGGGTCTGCAGGCAATGCAGTCTTCTCTGCGCCCCCCTGAACCAGACATGCAGGTCTCCCCTGTTCCCCCACCCCACCCCTAGCCTCCCCCATACTCACCCTGTGACCCCCCCTTCTCCTGCCAAACAACCATCCTGGCTCAGGAGAGGCTGAGCCACCACCTGCCCTAGGCCAATACTCAAACATAAGATAAGGCTTTTTTTCCCCCATGCTGGTTAGGGAAACCTTGTCTTGAATTCAAGTAAATGTGGTATTTTTCCCTAGTTTATAAGAATGAATTCCATCACTCTTGGATGGTTGGTGGTGGCGTTGGTTTGAGCAGTTTGTTCTGTTCATTTGGTGATCTGGTGGTCTTTTTCATATTAAAGTGGTTCTACATGATTAGAACCTTTAAAAATGTTTTACTCCTGACATTTTGAATTCCATACTATTACCCCACCTGGTCTATTCTTTGAAGGGCAAGGAGATCAGAGAAAAATATGGATAAATTACTTAAATTACTTCCCTGGTGTGAAGCTTCCAACACATGTCCTCCTACATCAAACATGTCATGTTGCCTTGCAGTTATTATTATGATCAGGGGTGGCAAACAAAGACCCTAGAACAGTAGACATCATATAAAATAATAAATAAGAATCTGAGTTATATGAATTTTGCTTTTTTTAAAATACCCTTGTAATAATAAATGAGGAAAGAAAAACTTTGAGTCATTAGTAGGATGGTTTCCTAAAAAGAAAAATGTTTGCTTTCAAAGAAACTTTGAGGCACTCTTTAAAGGCTTCAGACTACATTGCTCTGCTTTTTACCACAATGAATAGTAACTTTGGAGAGAATGCCTCTTGGTGGTTACCAAGGACATGGATAAATGAGTTGATTTGGTTATTATAGTAGCAGTAGTAATAGCATTTAAATTTATATATACAGAGAGGGTCATAAATTAAGAAATATTCAAATTACATAATTTTTAAGGTTCTGAACTTTTTCATTCTTTTCTCTCCTTTTTTTTTTTTAAATGCATCTCTTTTGCTAGAACCAGGTATGCCAAAAGATCACAAGACACCACATTCTTACAATATTGCCAGTTCTTCTGAAATTACAGATCATCATTTAAACTTTGGGCATTTAATCTGAATGGACTCCTAAGCTTTCACTTCACTTCTCTCTTTTAGTCTACTGTAGTAGTAACTAGCTTTTGCCTAATGCTTTCTACATTTTTATTTTACATCACTTGACAAAGAAGCATCAGTGTCCCCATTTTACAGAGGTGAAGACTAAGGCATATATTGAAAGTAACAGAGCCAAAAAAACCCTTGATCTCCTGACTCCATTGCACTAAATCACTTAAAGAGTTATTTATTTCCAAAAATGCCAGCTGGCATGATAGGAATCAGCTGTACTGCAGATGGTGTTTTTAACACTGGCAATTGCAATAGTGAATGTGCCTGTGACACTTAACATTTCCTAAATATTAGGTAAAGAAAGCTTAGGGAATCCACCATAAATCAAATAGGAGCTCTTCCTCTCCTCCCTTGCCCTCCCTATGCGTTATATTCTGTCTTGTTCTGTTGCTAATTAACATGTCTTGAGTTAACCTTTATTAAATGTGTGGCACAAGCATGTTTATCTAAGGTGTTCAGGAATCCCAGAATTCATCATGTCCACAAGTCCATAGTTGGCTTTAAGTTCCTTAAGAAAATGTCATGGTAGTTATTTGCTATGAGATGGGATGATATTTAAACTTGTGTGTGCACACAAATATTTGCATTTAAAGCATAAGTACAGATGCCTGCACCTGAAAACTCTGGGCACACATATGTTCACAGCTTTGCAGATTCATACCTGGAAAGCTTGAAAGTGTGGCTCTATACACAATATATTGGTTACATTTTTGGAATTTGCAGTCCAGATTTTGGTCACAATTTTTATATCTTGATTATTTTCTAAATTCCAACTAACATGAATTATTGAAGATGTAGTTAAAGCTCAAAACAAAACCAGTATTTAACTGTGGACAGAAACTCAGAGCTTTTGGTCTCCAGCGAAACCTAGGATTTTTAACCCCCAAACTCTAAGTGCTAAATAGCTAAGAGAATAGGAACAAGTAGTATTAATGATAGATTTGACTTAAATTAGAAAGTTTATTTATACTTGTATGGTGTCTTAGCAACCTAAATGATCATGATGTGGTGTTAGCTGTTCTCAAGAGACTGCAAGATAATTCTTGGAAATAATCATGGTGTCAGGAATTGCTGCTAGCAAGAGAAAATCCAATGAGATGGCATTTTAAATGGTACAGTTATTGCATCATAATAGGTGTCACAGGGCTCTGTGCTGAACTTGTAATAGCGCAGAGATTTGTCAAAGGCTTTTTTTTAAGTAATGTCTTGAAAATGAAAAAGGACAAAAATGATGGCAACTTACTTAGTTAACGCTGTACATAGTTTAACAAGCAATTAAACATAGCTGTCATATTTTGTTGTTAATTTCTGTAAGCATAATTTGCCTATTTTTGTGATTCATGTTTCAGGGAGTAAAATGAATCCAGTCTATTGTAACATCAAAATTGTTTGACTGAAATCTTGCTGCCCAGTTCTTCTTGAAAAAATATATATACACCAACTTTAAGTTAACCATAAATCAAAACGATGATTTTAGCCATGTCAGAAAACTAGAATAGCAAACAGTCAAATTCTGCTATAGTGATAAAAAGTAGAAATTACTGAACTAGTACTTTATTATTTATTTCCTACAGCTCAGAAAGTGAATCTGGCTCTCAAAGTGCATGTGATCAGCTTGTAACTCCTACAGCATTAGCAGCCTGTACCCGGGTCGACTCCTGTTTTACTCCTTGGTTTGTGCCTTCACTTAGTGTTTTGATCCAGTTTGCTCATTTGGAACTCCATCTCTGCCATCATCTTGATCAGTTGGGCACGGGTAGGCACCTCATTACTCATAATATTAAAATGATATAATTATGATTTACTGGTTTTAATCATCATCAGTTTGCCTTTTATAGAATTAGTTTCCTCATTCAAACAGCTATCATTCAAATAAACTACTTCTAAGGCTGACCAATGGTAAAGATTTCAGTGTCAAATTCATGACTTCTGCTCTGTGGATTGATAGCATGCATACCAAAAGCAGTGTGACTGCCTGGTCAGCTTCCTTTCTTCATTTGGGAATAAGTAATTGTAGAAGCAGTCCAGATTTCTGAGCGCTGATTAGTGCTAGCAGGTGCCACTTCATTTTCAAACCATCTTACAGCATCAGTTCAACCTTTTAAATTTTCTACTGTTTACAGGACTGTTGAAATGATAGAAGATTTTTTAACCTCTTGAAAAAGTTCTGAGAACTGCAGATTTAAACGTTATTCTAATTATGATTACTTTTTGAACTACATATGTTTTTATTCAGTGCTCTCTGTCATTGCATTAATGGCAAATATATTCCAAGAGATCTTTAGATTATTGTCTGATTTCAAATGCCAGGAATGCTTTCCGTGGAAGATGAGCAAATATCTTGGATAACTTTGAGTGGGACAGCTTTCTTCATAAATAGTTCTTTGTTTCTTGTAAACATTAAAATATACCACTTATCCAATTTTACTGGCATCTTGTAAAATAATTTCAGTGCTTAGAATCTAGTAAATAATTTCTTCTACATCAGCAAGACCTAACCAGGACTTAAGTTTCTAGCAATTGTACTCTGGTTCTAGATGCAGGAGCTGTCAAATTACACAATGCAAAAAGCAAAAGTTAAATTAAAATCAAATACAGCTATTTCACTTTTCAGCAAGAATTACATTGATGCTGTTAATGCTGTTATTTTTATTATCACACCTACAGGCCCTAAGTGTTGGGGTTCTCTTGTGCTAGGTACTATCCAAACAGAGCAGAAAACTTATTGAATCCATTATGCTTTTGAAAAATAAGGGCTTAATCCTGGAAGGTGCTCAACATTTTTGGCTCCCATTCAGCAAAGTTCTTAAATATATGTTCATTTTAAGCATGTGAGTTGTCCTGGTAACATAAATAACAACATCTATGGGGCTACTCCAGTGCTTAATATTACACAAGTGTTTACGTGCTTTCCTAAATGCAGGCCACGGTGCTCAGCGCTCCACAAGATAGATAGAGCCTTTAGTGCACAGCATGAAATCCATTATATGTGTTTCTCAATCTTGTTTCTGGACTTTGTTTTGGTTTAAGTTTCTGAGTGATTACATTATGTTGCTTATGAAAGGGAGGGTAAGCTTGTGGTTTTGAATGCTCTGCTAATCAGAGCAAGGCTAGAATTTTCATTATGAAGCTTTCTAGTCCGCAGAACTGCAGTTCAACAAGTACAACATTGTCAGCATTACTGGTATGCGTAAGCTGCCATAAATATGAGTGGATGCTCATGCACACTTGCACACATACATGCACACAGGTTTATGGAACTGTGGTCCCCACTTTGAATGGCTTACAGTGTAAGGCCCAATTCTTTGTTCTGTACTATGCAAGAAAGCAGTCTGGCTGACTGTATTCCATGCAGTGCTGGATTTTTATGTACATTTTGTCTGCCACACACAAGTTAATGTTAAGAGTTATGTTTTTGTTTAATAAATACTGGGCGTATCTACACAAGAGGCTATTGTGAAGTGGTTACTGTGCATTTATTTACTACTTGTATAATCAAGTACTAAATAAATGCACAGTTAACCGGAGTTACTGTTCAGTAGCATCAGTGAATGCCTGTTTAGTGATGCTACCATGCAGTAGCCTAATAATACTGCACAGTAGCATGTTAGCACTGTTGGCGCTGTGACGTGCTACTGCACAGTTAGTGTCTCATGTAGATGCATCCATTATGTACTATCATCAGTAATTTTAAGTTTCAGGCCTTTTAGTGTCCCATGTATTTTACACATTTTGTTCAGGTATAAAGTTCTTTCCAATGGAAATAAACATGGAAAAGTATATATATTCCTGCAGCTTTCATGTAGTATTGCTATTGTATTATAGTTATATTTGTCCTCTTATTTCACAGCACCACCACGGTTTCTTCAACCATTTATCTCTGATAAAAATGTGCCCTCTGAACTAGAATATATAATCATTTCCTTCAGAGAACCACATGCTTATCTTCGACAGTGGAGCGATGCATCAGTCTTCCAGGAGATCCAGTTCTCAACTCAGGGTGACTGTAAACTTCTGGAATGATTCCGAAATGTAACGCTGCAGAGTGTCGTGAAACCTTTCAAAATCTGGGGGCAGATTGCTATTTCTAGCAGAACACCAGAAACATTGCTGGACTGCTTGGTGATGGTGGATCCCATATTCATAAACTTTGGGCAGTATGCAGTTCATTCCCTAAGTACAGCACTTCAAGCATGGCAGCAGGTATGCAAATAAAATGGAATGAAAGACATTGCATTTTGGCTGTTCTCATTAATTTAAATCAGAGTGAAAACTAACAGAATTTATTAAAAAATAGGCCAAGTTAGCAAAAACATATATTATAAGTCCTTTTGATATTAAACATCAACCCAAAGACATTGAAAATTAAGAGGAAATGTGTTACACTTGGGTAAGTCTAAGCTAACTGTGGGGCGTCCATGAAATAGAACGGCGATATAATTGCAGTCAGAATTTGACTGCCAGGGTATCTTTGAAATATAAAATATTTAATTAATAATATAAAAGTCAATGTGTGATACATAAGACCACAGCTTTTTAAGTAGTATAGTGTATTGTTTCCAGCATCTACTACTTTTATCCTTACTGAAATTCAGAATTAGTCTCATATTGCATTGTGTACATGCAACATTAATGGTCAAGACCAGTCCCAGCCCAGAGATTCTAGCTTCTGCAATAACTTCTCAAAGGTCTGTGATTCCCTTCCACCAATACAGACCTAAAATCAAATCATTTTCTTTATCTGCCTGAAGACGTATGCGGAGCCTTGGAATGAATTACCTATCATGGCACTACAATAAGAAGCCAAGAAAAAAGATGAAACATCTGTTTTATATCAAAAAAATCTTTTTTTAGGGGCATTCCATGGTTTTCTTGTTGCAAAGGCCATTCGTAAAACAAGAGCTAGTGTGATTTAAATCTTTACAGCTGGCTCAAATATCAATGCGAACAAAAATCTTTGTAGCTCCAATTTCTGTTTTTGTCATATTTTGAACAATGCATTTAATAAAAAACAAACACAGAAAATGTAAGAGAGTTTGATAGCTTGTTTAAACCCAGAATATTCTTGACTTAAAACCATCTAAAGACATGTGTGGCAACTACTGCAAAACAGCCTTTAGAAAGGTCAGTTTCCTCTTAGGATACAAAAGTCTCTCAGACACAGTTATACATATAAATAAAATATGGTGCATAAATATTTAAATGTTTTAAACCACATCAGAGTGTGAATGACTGACTGACTACACAGTGCCTTGAAGGAATATTCTGAGTTGAAAAAATGGAATTGTATATTTGATTAAGTAGAGCCATATGTCGCGTAGTATATTGCTGACAGGTACATTCTATGAATAGTTGGTTCTGATTTATACATGGATTTGGCAATGTTAACATGAGCCACAGGAGGATATACTTCTGTAATTGTTGCTGTAATTTTCTCGTTTCCTCTCATGTCAAGGGTACTTGCCACCATGTTCTGATGTGGTGGGTATCTAGCCCAGAGTATTCTAGATTAAAAACTTGCAGTACTTTGAAATTAGAGGACATTTGACACAGAAGTGGGTTCAGAACTGCTTATTAAATTAATTGTTACCAAGATGTTATGTATGTGGTTTTACCTCCACAAGGGGGAGAAATGAATATCCCAGTGATACATATTGTTTGATGTGCGGTGTTCACATGGAGCACAGTGTAAATGCTGCCAACCAGAAACATGAATTTAATAAGCAGGAAAAGTTATTTGAATTCTCCACATATTTTTTTTCTGGATTAATATCTGAGACAAGTAATTTTGTACTCACTGGGCAGACAGACGAAGCATGAAGCAATTTGGCCTTGCACCTTTAGGTCAAGAGTTCAAAATTAACAGAACCCTCTGTCAGTGCCTGTGTTTGCTAGATATGGATAGATTCTTTCTAATGATAATGAAAGTTTTTAAAGTAGATTAGGCCTAAAAAACACCAAGCACACAATTTGCTTTCCACTTCTAGGTCACATGCTAAAAACCTGAGAGGATTAGCACTTTTTTTAAACAGTTTCCCTTATTGATGTTGTGCTGCACTGTGTAATCTTTTATAACATGAAATCAATGTTTAAATACAAGCAGTAATAGTCTAATGCACGTCTGAATGCAAAGCTAAAAGTAAAAATGGTTTTAATTATCAAATTGCTGTATAGGGAAACTTAAGAGGCTATTGTTAAGTGATATCATATAGAGCGTATGGTGAAACAGAAAATGGATATTTTTCCCTGGATTTGAGCATTTAAACCTTTCCAAGTTGTTTCAAAACATTAGTGTTTCATGAATTCCATAGACGAAGGGTCAGCAGAGAGAACAGCTCCTCAAATACAAGTACTAAGTAAACACTGTTCGAAAAATGCAAACAGCTCTGTAGTGGTCATTCTGTTTAAATCTTTTCCTAAAGCCCTCAGATTGTATTAAAACTCCCCTTTTAACCATACAGAAACTAGTACAGCTTTTTTCCACTCATGGACCGGGTGATACTTTGTTACTAGCAGATTGACTTCTATTAATTAAGAAATGGTCTCAAGCTAAAGGTCTCCAGTGAAGTTGATCACAGCAGTTACCCTATCTCTCTACCACAAGGACTGGAAGGGGAAAGCTGCGTGTAGCTACCATTTAAATTCCCAGATGATAACTTCAGTGCATGTAGTAAGCCTAGGCTTATGCTTCACTGTAACAGTGATGAAAATGTGTTGCCGTGTCTTGGAGGAATATGTGGGAACGGATGTGTGAACTTAGTGAAGGTCTTTCCTTCAGGCACCCACACAAAGTAATATATGCAAAATTTTTCCACAATTGAACAGTGGCTTGCAAAGCACAAAGATAATAGACGTGACCAGGCCTACACCTCTGTGATTTGTTTCCAGACCAGGGAATGCTTTGAAATAGTCGTTAGCTGGAAGATCTTTCTAGGTAATGAGAATCATCCCTCTGGGGCAAGGGAAAGCTTGGAGACCTATGGTACATCATTTTTTTTCCCCTGAAGAGGGTTCACAAAATATTGGAAAGCGTAGTGAATATGACAGGCTTTCCAGGCCTCCAAGACGGAAAATAAAAGTCAGTAATGTTTTAAAAAAGGTGGGAGTTATTCCCCAAAACTGACCTGACTCTATACCAGTTGATATTTTATTGGTTGGTCTGATTTGTTGTCGGATATCACTCATGTCTAGTGTCATACTTTAGCAGGAGTTTCAGGGCTAAATAAATCTATGCTGGTGCAGGAGTTATTGAAACTCCAAGGGACTGACATTAGAGAAACACAGACCAAGACCTATTAAAGGAAAGCACCTTTCATTTACAGCATGGGATATGGAGCAATCCCATCAGTAGATGAATAAGTAGATGAATTACCACATTGCCAGCCAACTTTGGCATGTCAACCCCCCCCCTGCCTGGCATTATTCAGCACTGGTGCCTCTGTAGCCACCTGTAACACTCCCAGCATGTGCCGTGGGCTTTGTGCCACTGCAGTTCCCCTTCAGGTAAATTTGCTGTTGCTTGGCATCCTGTGTCCCAAGTTATGCAAACAGAATCCAGTTCAGCACAGCACTTACAATGCCCGTTGTATCAAATTCCTGAAAAGCACTGCTGTTAAAACCAGTAGATGCTGGTAGCAATTCTAGCATTGAAGACTTGTAACCACTGCCAGCATTTGATATCTAAGTGGAGTTCAAGCTATTGGTAATCTTTTCGCACTTTAGAAAATACATTAAGTTACTTTCTGTGGTAATTAAGCTCTATTTTAACACTCCATTAAGAAGACTGTAGTTGAAATGTCTTATGGTGCTGTTGTTTTAGTCTTCTGGTTACATATTTAACCAGAAAAATCTAGTGGATGTTTCCTGAGGGGAAAAAAGTTTTATAAAATTCCCTAAGGTCTTATCCAGATTTAACTATAACAACATACTGAGTTGGTTGGATTTTAAATCTGCCCTTTAAAGAAGAGCATTTCATAAAGCTGTAACAAGAAAATATATGTTTGTGGTAGATATATGGGTATGTGGGTATGGCAGCTTGACAATAAGAAGTCATAGATCTGCCATTAGAGAATGCCAAAATAAACTGTGCACTCTGAAGTGGCACTGCAAATGTCAGCCTACAGCCTACCCAAATCCGCTACTGAATACAATGTATACAAAGGCTCTGTAGCGAGTTTCACTGCTTCCAAAAAGTGGGACTTTGACTACATTATTGATTAAGCTCTGTTTATTTTCATGAAAGATGTGCGGCATAATTCAGAGAAATTCACAAGAAGCAAAGGGCCAGATATTAAGAGTGCCTAGTTACACACCTAATTTGTTCTCAGGGGCCATATAATTTTGTATACAAATGCACCTAACTAGTAATTTTCATATTCAGTTACATTATTTTAGTCACAGTAGGGACCAAATTCAGCACCCCTAGTTCCAACTGAATTCCCACTGAAATTCAGTGAAAGCCATGAACCCACATTCAGGAGTGCAACTGGGCACAACTGTGAGTGTAAATTAGGCACATACCTAACTTTAAACAACTGGCCCACAGTGTTTCTCATAATAATGTGACTGTAGCAGGTACCAGTAGTATGTGTGATCAGAGAGCTCCCCATGAAATACTTGGCTCTCTTCCTTGTTCTTTAGTGATTCCAAGCTGTTGTCCAAGAACCCAGGAAGCTTGTGAATATACACGTAGGAGGAACTAGCTGCTGGGCATGAAGAAACTGTGCTGGAGCTAGGCAACTGGAAGCTGCACCCACATTGTTGCTGCTGTTTCTTCCTGCCCCCAGCTCTCCAGCTACAGCACTGCTGCAACTTCCAGCCAGTGGGAACTGAGCTGAGGCGGGGCAACTTCCAGCTGTGCCCACATTGCAGCCAGGAAGCTGTGGGGGGTGAGAAGGGAAACGGAGAAGGCAGGAAGAAGTAGCTGCAGTTTCTTGATTCCGTGCTCAAGCTTGATGCCTCACCAGCTAGACACAATGTCTGTGCTGCAACCAGGAAGTGGAGGGTGGGGAGAAGTGTCAGCAGTGCAGGTGCAGCTCCCCTCTGGCTGGAAGCTGTGCCCTTGCCCCAGCTGGAGACCTAGGGTTGGGAAGAATCAGTGGTGAAATGGGCACAGCTTCCAACTGCTTGTCCCTGGCATGGGAGCAGGCAAACCCCCCTCACTACTGACATGTCACCAAAGCCACCCAGCCCACACTGGCCTGGGACTGGGTTGTTCTGGCACACAGCTTGTAAAGATTATTGGCCCCTGACTTAATGAATGAAAGGCTAAAAGGAATGCTTAATAAGCATCACCTTATTTCAGTTGAGTTAAAAATGTAGATCCAATTCAGACCTTGGGCTTCAGGACCTCGCTAACTGAAAGTTCACCTTGGGACAGGCACTCTGGCTCCCATCAATTGAAACCTCTACCAGAGAAATATGCCATAATTTGGCATCATTTTAAGAGTCAAGAAGGCTACATGAGGGAATGGGAAGGCTGTTGCATCTAACAGGAGTGCTGGCTCATTGCATTCCTCACTCAGCTTCCCTTGGCAGGATCCTGTGTGGGCCCCGAGCGAACTTTTCAGTTGTTCCATCTGATAAACCTGTCCAGGGGGGACAGTGGCAGCATTACCACTAACCCTGCCTTGGCACTGAATGCCTCTTCTCTGTAGGGAATTGAAGTTTGTGCCTGCAGAAGGGAAGCCCTGTGGCCTTGGTAATTTATAGTGACTGTCATGTAACCCATTGTGCAAATAGAATAACTGATGGAAAGATGCCCAGAATGCTTTTTCCATTGCTGTGATACCTTAGAACAGAAGTGAAAAGGAGCCAGATAGAACGTTTGAGGGAGGGACTGCTACGAAGAAAGGAAAGTATTTCTAAAAAGTTAAAATGCTCTTTTGAAAATGCATTAGACAGTTTAGTATTTTGCCCTTTGGGCTATTAAAATACACTATGTATTTTCAAACTAACCTTGTGGATTTTTTAAACTACTCCCTGAGTTGCAGCTTCTTCTGTCCTGCCACTTTTAAGTGTTGCACCGTAAGAAAAGAAAGCCTTCAGGGAGGAAAGATTTGCTCCAGAATGATCCGCAGCAGCATTTCAAAGCAGAAGAAACAGGTGGGAAGGAAGATGTGGGCCCTGATGGCCTCACAGATCTGTTGTCAGGAAGCTAGAGTACTGCTATATATTCAGCCTCCAGTACCCTGTCTGCAGCAGATAATATGTTGTTTCCAACATATGTTAATTTATTTTCCTTTAGTCATTTTTAAAAGTTATGAGATTTAATTTTTCTTTCAGCTTTAGATATTTATGATTTATATTAGAGGAACATAAATCCAAATATATTCTTGGGATATACTTTTTAGAACCTGCACTAGTTTGTACTTATGCTGGATGTACAGAATACTTCGTAACCAAAGCTAAGGACAGAAGACTTTATAGTGTTTCTGTGTTGTAACAATAGCCACTGGGCAGACAGCTGCCAAACATCTTGCAATTAATCTGATGCTTGTTGGCTTTCATTTCTTTTTCTTTCAGAACCAATGCCCTGAGGCAGAGGAGTTGGTCTTCAGCCATATTGTGATCTGTAATGACACACAGGAGACACTGCGGTTTGGCCAGGTGGATACTGATGAAAATATTTTGCTGGCTAGTCTCCACAGTCACCAGTACAGCTGGCGCTCTCACAAGTCCCCACAGGTACATCAGGAACAGCCTTACAAATGCAGCAATTGTTAAAGTTGACTGGTGTTTTTCTTCATTGATTTTTCATTTTCATTTATGTGCTTAGCTATCTTTAGCTTTCTAGCTCCTTTAGGAGTCAGATGCTGTCACTGCATCAGACGAAAGATAAGCAAAGAGATGAGGAAACAGAGAGGTTTAGATATAAAAAAAAGTTTACAACTGCACATGCACATACCCTTTCTCTCCCAACCCTAGTCACATTTATTGAAATTCAAGCTTGTGAATCAAAACAACATCTACAAAAAATGACAGAAACTTACTTGCTTAGTTCACAGTCTTGTCAATTCTTCATATGATAGACACTGGAGGTGGTTGGAAATTTTTCAGTGAATCATGTTTTCATCAAAAAGAATGCCAGTGCATTGACACTAAAACTCTTTGCATAAAAACAGTCATTTGGGATAGATGCCCAACTCAAAACATTTTGGGGAAAAAAGTTTGGAAATTGTTAAAACATCCATTTTGACATTTTAGGACCACACAGTTTCAGTTTTCCAAATCAAAATGAATTTTTATTTTAAAATTATAATAAGCATATGATGCTGAGATACATTTTAAAAGGTTTGCAGTCAAAACTATCAGCATGAAATGTTTTGATTGATCCTTTAATTTTTTTCAATTAAAAAAAAATTGACTTTTCATCTTGCTTCAAGATGGAAAAATCTTTCTATATGTCAGTCATATGCATGCGACAGTAAAACCATTCCCTATCTGTCTCCACACACATCCTATTCTCAGGAGACTGCACGCTGTTAATAGCCCAATTCTCCTCTGTTTGTTAGTGAGCAATCCTGAAGCCAGACACTTGGGTAAGGATTTTTATCGGAACCTAAAGAAAATTCAGTCTGAGTCGGGTGCTTTCATGTGTTAGAAAAGGACAGTGTTTAAAGACCAGTTATAATGAATATCTATGGTCAGGCTCATAACTGACAAGGTACACGCTGAAAGCAGGATTTGTTTGCTAATACCTTTTATTGGACCAACTATATTGCTGAATAGATGATATACAAGTCTGAATTGGACATATAGGCTGGAATCAACTGGATGGAGTTCAGTGCTGATAAATGCAAGGTGACAATGAAAGACACAGTATTGGGAAGAATAGTCAACAACACAAATACAAAATGGGTGACAACTGGCTGGATGGGAGCACTACAGAAAAGGATCTAGGAGTCTTGGTGGATTATAGATTTTGCATGAATCTGTCATGTGACAGCTGCACAAAAGGTGAACGCAGTTTTGGGCTACATCAATTTAAAATTTAAAATAAGTGGATACAAGAGGTGATATTCTGTTTTTACTCAGCATTGGTTAGGCTTTATTTCAAGTATTAGGTGCATTTCTGGGCTCCATGTTTTTAAAAACAACTTGGAGAAATTATAACGGGTCTTTTTTACCATATGGTAAAATTCCTTCATGATTCCAAATATGGCGATCGGTCTGACCCTGAGTGAAGGGGCAAGGCCTTCTAGCCAGAAACCTCTGGCTTTGGTCCCAGCAGAAGCATTGGCATACCCCAGTCAAAGTCCCTAGCTCTAGCCAACAACTAATGCCTCTTGGAAGGCTTAAGAACACCCTGACACATGTAGCAGAAAAGGGAGGAGGCAGTGGGGGCAATCAGCAAAGCCCAGAAGCATGGGAAATACCCATGGTAGAACATAGGCATAGCTATGCCTAGATCATCCCCAATCAGTGGCTGTCCAAACTCTTCTTAAACAACTGCAATGATGGAGAATCCACGACTTCCTTAGGCAGTGTATTCTACTGCCATACTGTTCTAACACTGAAGAATTTTGTTCTGAATATCCAATCTTAAACTTACTTTGCTCCAATTTCAAGCCATTGGTCTGCACCCTCCTCTCTACAGCTAGAAAGAAAAGGTGTTTTCCCTCTTTTTTACAGCAGCCCTTCATGTCTTTGAAGACTGCTGTCATGTCCTCTCTTAAGTGCCTTTTCCACAACATGCCTAGCTTTTTCAGCCTCTCCTCATTGATTGCACATTTTGAGTTGTTTGCATAGTTTTAGGATTAGGTTAGACACGGACTTGTACAAGATGGTTTTCAGGCACAAAATATCCTCAGGTATTTTTAAAGGCATTAGCAAACAAATCGTGGGAGTCCCTGGACCACCATAGCTACCACACTACTAAAAGGCTTATGCTGATCAGAAAACAGGTGAAAGTGGCACATTTATTGTAACTTGCACTAGTGTAGCATTTGGTGGGTGTGTAAAATAACTGTATCTTTCAGTAACTTGGTAATCTGGGTGGACCAAATTCAGCCAAAGAGTAAACTGTTGTTGTTAAGGTTAAATTTTGTCTGAGTACAAAAGGTGACCAAACGCTCAGCCCACATGCCAGACCAATGCAGAACACAAGAGCGGGTCATGTTCAGCGTGTGAAGAGCTCATGATCATGAGGCTGACCAGCTCATGATCAGACAGCCTTAACAAATCAGGAGCTGCAGGAGAAGCGTGACTGCCTGGCCAGCAGACACACTCTCTTAACTGTAAATCAGCAGCCTCCTCCGATTGGCTGAAGAGTTTATAAAAGGAACAGCGCGCTAAAGCGCAGGGTCCCGGGTTCCACACAAGCCCTCGGATAGGACTGATCACCCTGTCCAGGAATCCGTGTCCCCATGGACGAATAGTCATACGAATAGTCATATGCATACGAATAGTCACACCCTGGCTATTATTTCACCGAACAGTGAGCTCTCCATCCGCACATACATCGGAAAAAGCAATTGCTATCTCCTACCTGTCATCTTTAACTACTGCTTCACCACTGTCGTTTTGTTGTGTAACCACTGTTGGAATCTTACTGTAAGTAAACGTTAAGTTCAATTTTACTATCTTCCAACTGAGTCAGTGTCCCTTTCATCCCCGGCCTGTCCGCAAGGCGGGTTGGTCGTCCACCCGCCCCCCCGATTCAACTGGTAAACCGCCTGGTGAGTGCTGCGGTTACTAACAAATTTGGCCTCAAGAATGTTGGAGATTGTATAGGCATACATTAGGGAGATAGACATTATGTTAATATGGGCTTGTCTGAAGCCCAGCAAGGGAGAAGATGTTATAAAAACATTGTTTGCTGTTAAGAGTTAAGTGTGGTCCAGCCTTGCTTCTGCTCTAAAAACCAGCAGCAGAAATCTCATTATTAAATACACAGAATAAAAAAATAAAACAACTGAAACCTTTGAGACTTATAGAACTAATTTGAGATAGATAGATAGATAAACTAAAGGAATAAAGTATTCAAGAGAAAAATAACGCATTAGTTGGTGGATGACAGTACAGTCCTCAGGTTCACATTGTGGATGTTCAACCAATGGAAATGGTCATAACAACTGGTTTTCTGCCTGTTCTGTAGTCTGGTCAGGTCATTTTTAGGATTAGATTATTGATAAATATCCAGTAGTGTCAAGGTGGATCTAATGATCCCAAAAAGCAATGGGGCCAATAGTAGTCATCACAGGGAAGATTGCTCCTTCTAGTGTAACCATCCTACAATCCAGTTGCCTCTTTTAAAGAGCCACAGATATAGTCCAGAAGTAGGTTCCACTGTCATCCTGTTAAAATCAATCAGATAAAACATTTTGAAAATGTAATCTTTGAACAGTTCATGTCATTTCTAGAATATATCAGATAATTGTCATGTCTACCAGGAAACTGGAAGACCCTTTACTGTAGTTCTTTAACCTAAAAGTCCATGTGTACCAGTCTTTTCATCTTTAGCTTGAGCTTATATAATAGTTTGAGTTGCTATTTTGTTACCTTGCAAGACTGACTTTCTCTCTAACCCTCCTTTTACTGTCACTGTACATGACCAAAAAGGCTAAGAAGGATCAATTCTAGCCTGCTGTTCTGGTGGAGAGCACACTGTGGAGGCTCAGTATGAGCATGTTTTGCTGTAAATGATTTTGTAAGTAGGACATAAAGATTTCCTTTTCACACCAGGGGGAGTTGGCAGTCTGGCCCTGGCGGTGGGTTGCAAAGACTGCTTCCTGATTGGTTCCCCATATTATTATGCTTCATTTGATTGGGTAAATGTAATTTTGTAATAATTTTGTTGCAAGTGTAGCTGACTCTGTCTGGAGGGAGAAAGAATAAGACTTGGAGAGAGCTGGGTGGAGAAAGGGTAATCCTGGGGGTGACAGAGAGCTGGAGAAACAGGTTAGTCCCAGAGAGCTCAGAGTGGAATCCAAGCAAGGACAGAAGAAACTGTAGCAGCATAATAAAGACTATGTGGACCTGAGTAGTCAGCTGTGCTATTTGAGATGTCAGTACTCTAATCTCTCTTCCCATTTTGAAGAAGAAAGCATACACCCCTTCCCAGCAGCTGACCAAAAAGAAGGAGCTCTCCAGAGGAGTGTTACAGGTCCCCAAGGAAGCCAGAGACTGAGAAGAATCAGGGTCTCAAAGGCAGAGGCTTGCCTTTTGAAAAGCTACACCAGGAGAGGGAAACAAAGTAAGGCTTCTTGTGGAGTCCTAAGGCAGACTTTCCCCTGAAAGGAGCATAATCCTGTGACACTATACACCTTCCTTTGCCTTCTGTAGCAGAAGCCAGAGGTTTCTTGCCTTTGTTTTTGATTTAAACCATGAAACACAAAGTAACATTATAAAAATAGTTTTCCTAATTGGCCTATATGCAAGGTATTTTTGTGATAACAAAATGTGTTTGGACAGTAAGGCCAACAGAAAAGTAGGAAGGTCAAGTCCTTTGGAGCCAATAGGAGTTTTGCCGTTGTCTGAGAATGGGATTGGGTTCAAAGTGGGGAACTTCTGGCTATGTACTTTGGTCGCAGAGTCAATACCTACAAACTGCTGTAAGCCTCCACATTTTGGGTTTTTTCACATTAATATTACAATAGTTTCCAGAAACCCTGTTGAAGATCAGGGATGTGTTTTGCTAAGGGACATACAAACTCACATAGGCTTGATCTCTTTCAAAACTCCAT